AATAGATAGAGTTGGGTCAATACTACACCTATGTATATCCCATATGTCTAATAAAGGATTTTCTATCTAAATAAGAAACTTCCGGTTGGCCTTATGTCGTATATATGGCATCGATAACATTGGCTGGTAATAGTAATTCGTGTCAATGAAACAGCAGGCTATCGATGAAATTTGTTAAGTTGTGTTTATTACTCAAAAGTTACATTTGAGAATGTTAGTGCGGTTAGATATTGAAAAAACTTGTTACTGTAGCTGATCAAATATTTTTGTGAACCAGGTGGAAGCTCAAATTATCGTCGTACGAAAAGTGTGAAATAACTTGAAATTCCTATATGTATGTACATTATAATTTTATTCTACTAAGTAAATTTTCTCGATCATTGGAACATTTGGATCAAAAGGAGTCAATTTTAATTCCTAATCTCTAAAAAAAATTACTTTAAATAAATATCATAATATTGGCGGTAGTCAAAAATATGCGGTCTAGAGTAATCGGTTCCGCTCGTACTTCATCATAATCACCACGTGATCAACATATTCACACCATTCTCAACATTCCATCACACCGCTTGTTTTCTTTTTTTTATATTTATGAATATACATACATACTCCAAAACGATCTGGAAGACATTATATTCAAGAGTTTTAAGTACTCATTTACCCACTAAAAATTATATATTATTTTTTATATATTTATGTATATTATTTGTTTATAAATTTTATATATTATATTTATATATAATATTTATATATTTTATATAAATTTATATTTAGTGTTTATTTTTCATTATTATTTCATAATTTGGATAAATGGATGAATCCAACTTGCTATTCTAATAAATTTATTTCGTTAGTTATATATTTCACAAAAAACAAAGTCGTGAATGATAAACCAAGAAACACTAAATTTCCGGCTTTTGTGTGGATCTGTATTCGTTTAAGAAATTTTCAACTTTTTCTTGAAATTAAGTAATGCTAAAAATTAATGCAATCAGTCCAGATCTACCGCCTACCCCAATATACTAGATATACTGATTTTCGGCTTTTCAGCTCACTTTAAACCGTTTATGTTGATCGAAATGTGGGATTTTTAAATCAAATTACAAGTTTTCTCAAACATAATGTGGTTTAGCACTTTAGCGCTGTATATGAATGGAATTGGTCTATACCTTTGATGTAGACCTCACATTCTTAATGTAATAAACTTCCGATTGTCCGGTTGACTTTTTCCTCATATACGCAATCTATTAAATTTAGCTTCAATGTTACCGTACATTTTCTTTCCCGTATTTTTTTATAAGATTACCATACAAGGTACAATTCAAAAGTTCCAGGACTTTTTAAACAACGCGGCTTCTAGTGGCGCCATCTGTCTGAAATTTGTATCCCTCAATTGTGTATTCATCAGTGTTGTATAAAATTTATATAACAACTGACTTGTATAACAGCTGAGATATCGCGCTACATGTGACATTACATGTGTAGTGTCGGTCGGAAAATGAGCATCGAACAAAGAGCCAACATTAAGTTTTGTTTTAAACTTGGTAAAACTTTTACCAAAACTCGTCAAATGATGAAACAAGTTTATGGCGATGATTGTCTATCCCGTAGCCGTATTCACGAGTGGTTTAAACGTTTTCAAGAGGGACGGGAGGACTTGGAAGACGACGAACGTTCGGGCCGGCCAAAAGATGTTGTCGACGAAAAAAACACGGAAATTGTGCGTAAATTCATTAAAAAAGAGCCGAAATCATCGCTTAAATATATGGAATCGGAATTATCAATATCCGCAGCGTCGATTTATCGTATTTTGACAGAAAATTTGGGCCTCAGAAAGGTTTGTGCTCGTTTTGTCCCGCACACTGTGAAACAACACGAAAAAGACCTCAGAATTCAACATTAAAGAGACATCATTAAAGAGGCCAAAAAGGACCCAAACTTTTTGTATTCGATTGTGACTGGTGACGAAACATGGTGCTTTGAATATGAGCCCGAAATGAAATGAAAGTAAACCGCTGTGCTGACGTTGATGCCATCCAAAAGGCGACGACCGCCATCCTCCATGCTATACCGACAAATGACCTAAAAAAGTCATTCGATAACCTTCTTGAACGTGCAAAACGTTGTATTCAGGCGGAAGGAGACTATTTTGAAGGCGACCAATAATTCAAAAAAAAAACAAATAATATTCGTTTTTTAATAAAAGTCCTGAAACTTTTGAATTGTACCTTGAATGAAGAAGTTTTTTGTATGGTTTAATTTCGTGTAGATTTACTTGGTGTTTTTATGATTTTTTCAATCGTCTTAGGTATCTAAAGATACTGAATTTCGAATTAAAATTGCAATTAAAATTTTTTGTTGCAAAATAATTTTTATTTTTTTTTAAAAAGAAAATTAAGTTTTCATTTTATAAAAACATATTTTAGCTTCGGTTCAGCCGATGTTAACATGTTTTCTTCAATGTAAAGATGTTCATGCAGTGGAGCGTCAGGCGCAATTTTAAACAAAAAAAAAATGTGTGCATCAACACGGTGGACGTTATATTTCTATTTTTTTTTGTTCCTTATTCCAGAAAATTTAAACATTTATAAAGTTATACGATATTTAGTCATTATTTTTAATGTGTTAATATTAAAAACTTAAGGAATTTAATTAGGCTTTAATTTCCCAAGCAATTAGTGCTCTGTGAGACAGTAAAATAATGTATTAAAATTTAGAAAAAATCGTCTAAGAAGTCGAAGATTTTTGTGAAAAATTTTCGTTAAACTTATAATTAGCGGATTTAGCTCTTCGTTGAATTCAATGCATTTAAAACAATATTAAAACGCGAACTACTCAAATCACGACAACTGTGAACAGTGGAGATTTATGGAAATTTATTTTAACGATTGAACGACATGACACACTTGTAGGATTTTAAAATCACACAATTTTATTTTTCACAATTCTTACTCGACTTGCCCTTATTGAAACCCCCTTTATTTCAAAGCATCGAAAAGAATTTTAACGAAAACGAACCTTGAGAATTGTATTCAGCGCAATTAAACCGAAAATTGCAAAAACTGCAATATGCTTCATAGCTTCCGCCACAACAACACGCTTATTCTTGCCCTAAAATGACTCAAACTTAAGTCTGGCACTCTTTGCTTGGTTGGTAACTGACTGTAGCTTGCTTGTTTGTTTATTTTGTTGTTTTATTTTGTTTTGTTAAACTACGAAGTGACTTTGAACTTGTAACACTTTTCATATACGCCAACCTTTTGATTCGTATTCTTATTTACGTTGTTATTTTATTTATCAAAGAATAGAATGCTAAAAGAAATTATTTAATATTCTTGCGAACATTCACGCTCGTTTCGAGCTCTACAGTTTGACTGAATGCATTTCGCATATGTTTATGCTCGCATTTTTATAATGTTTTTTGTCAAACGCATTTGTATTTTTATTTGTTGTAACGCATTTGACCCAATTTTATGAGGGTTTATTTAATGAGAGGTATTGTTTGGTTTTTGTACCCCTGAAACATTTGGTATAAAGTAGCATTGTTTTGTTTACCTAACGGTTGTTTATAATAATAAAATCAAAGAAAAAGATAGTTAAATAGTATAATGTTATTGTATGTGTATTGCTTAAGGTATATAACTCTATGAAGTGGAACAAAATTAGTGCAATTCTGTAATCGTTATTGTACCTACAAGTAAAATGAAAACCAAACCATTTTGAAGAATGTTTTGTGTCTCAAATGCGTCAAGTCTCGATTTGGTGCCAAAATCACACTGTATTGGTTCTTCGCGACTTTTTTTTGTCATAAACTGCACTCGTATCGTTCCGCAACCACCGTATTCGCCTGATTTGTGTCCGTGCGACTTCTGGCTATTCAACAAACTCAAAAGACCAATTCGAGGATGCCATTTTGACACGTTTGAGGAGATAAAAACCGAATCGAAGAAGGCCTTGAAGGCTATAGCGGAAAAAGACTATTCCGACTGTTTCTAGGGCTGGAAAAAGCGTTGGCAAAAGCGCGTTTTGTTGAACGAGGATTACATTAAAGGTGATAAAATTGATTTGGAAGAATAAATAGAGAATTTACATTTTATAAACCAATTCACCTTACTTTTTGATCACAATAGTATGTTCTTTAAATCACGATATTATATGATACTACTACTCTATTATGTATCACTATTAGCGTTAGTAGCTTCCAAACAACCGTAGATCAAAATTTATATTGCGTATGGAAACCGGCTACTAATCATTGGCAACTGAGCAGACTACCGTCAGTTTTCGTGTATTGTGTAGTACTATCGTTCGTTCTTATAGTATACAAAAATGTCAAGTTTAGGCAACTCAAATTAAATAACTTACTAATATTCATCTCCAAAAAGTGTGTTTCAAAATTTTTGATTAAAAATGTAAAATTATTGATGTTGCCTGCGTTTTCAATATAACAGCTAGTAGACTCGCAACTATGCCTTACTAAATAGTGGTGTTTGTTCGCAGTAGAATTTAAAGTTTCCTTACTTTTTTGTCCATAACGCACCTGCTAAGTGTTAGGAAGTGCTTGAATGTTACTTGTTGCGTGCAATTTCGCTTGATTGGACGGTGATAATGCTAGTGTGCAAATAGCGGTGTGGGTCATTGCGATATCTACTTATATGCTGCATATTCGTAGAGAATATTAGAAACTAACTGACTCTAATAAATTTAACCTTTTCCAATATGCAAAGACGTTTACAGTAGTAGTTCGTGTATACCTCAAGTTCACTGGACATTCCTCCATGCCAATCTATTACTATTGGCTGAATATAAAATATTTTCACTTGGAGCACATTGAGTACAAAGCGTTCTCCACTTCCTCGACCCTAAAGCGCTACCATACATTTTTTATCTTACTTATTTTTATTTTTTATTTTTTCATTAGAATCGAAATAAATCTTTTGACTGTTGTGATCGAATTTTGCACATCTAATTTCCTTAACCAATTAAATTCCAAAAATATATTCAAATTTTCATAAAAAACATTTTATTGGCTCTCTTTGGCACAGTATAAAAAAATTTACAGGTTTTATTAACCTTTCGATCTGAGGACAGATTTTTCTCTTCTCTGTGAATTAACTCCTTACCCTAAAATGGAGGTAATAACCTCAACCAATTCTCTATGAAATAGAAATTTTAGTATTGAGGAGCTGCTGCAGCATAGCTGCCTTGTGCTGAGCTACCGGCGTTGTATTCATCTTGTGGGGCGGCACTAGCGCCATATGCATCTTGTCCGGCATTACCGCCGTCATAGGTGCCTTGTCCAGCATTGGCGATATTGGCCAAAGCTGCTAATCCTTGGCTACCTTGCAACAGATGGTAACCAGCGGTTTCAGCATGAGAGCTGCCAGCATTACCACCAGCGCCGGCTCCAGCAGCAGCACCATAACCATCGCTGCTATAAGCAGCTTGTTGTTTCTCATTAACAAAATATTTCTCTGCTGGTGGCTTGACAACGTTAACATACACAGGCTCCACCTTAACTGGACGTGGGTGATGCTTAACATAGACCTTGCGCAATACAACTGCTGGGGGTTTGTGCAAGACAACTGGTGCGGGTTTCACAACTAGTGGAGGATGATTGACCAACACCTTGGTGGGTGGGCGCTTGACAATGATTGCAGCGGGACGATGGATAAGGATCTCACCTTTGTTTTGTGGGTAGGTGATCGAAGAGCTAACCGTATTGGCGCGGTGACCAAGCGAGTAGGGAATGCTTTGGGCGGGCAAGATTTTACCGCATGGACTGGGCACACCATTGCCATCACCTTGGATTGAGCCCGAGCCAATGCCCTGAATGATGCCACTAAGCGCATCACCACTGATACCGCCAGCGCCACTAGCGCCACCAGCGCCTCCACCGCTACCATAACCGCCAGCCGATCCTTGTGAGCCATGTGAAGCATAGGCTGTCGTGCTGCATGCCTGTATTTAAAGAAAATTGGTAAGACAAAGTTAGCCAAGTGCAACAAACAAATATCGGAAATATCGGTTGATGAAAAATACTACGTACAATCATTGCAATAGCGCACACATAGAGCAGGTGTTGAAAGCGGTTCATTGCGTCGCTTCTCGTTTACTGGGGGATGCTGCTGCTTTAGCTTGGGGAACTTGTTCACTTCTTGCGTCGTATGCCTCGTATATGTTATGTTATTGTGTTCTCAAGGCAAGAGCACCGTTAACTGACTGTGATCAATTGGCTGAGAAGATTTGTTTAAATATGCTTCGATGGCATTAAGCCATATTGCACATTCAATTACGTGACATTTGTGCGGCAGTTCATTGCGCGCCACCAACGCTATTTTGTCTTTCTTCAAATTTTTGTTGCGATTTTCTGTTGCTGATATTCGGTCGACATGTTTATCGCAATAATATCAGTTAATAGCAATCTGTGCTGCTTATTATAGGCGATTGCTCTCACAAACCATGCTCTCATGTTGCTGCAGGTGAGATTATGTGGTCAATACGACATTTCCGTATAACTCTTATGATAACAATTTCACAGGATATAGAAATATACATATTACAAATTATAAAGTGAAGAAAAACATGTTTTTTATTGTAATAAGCGCGATAGTTATTGGCAAAAGTTCAAATATTTTGCTAACATAAGAAATGTCTTATATTATCCACATGTTTTAGCAACTTGAGTGGGGAAGCCCGACCAAATTTCTGAAAAAAGCTAGGAGAGCTAATCTCATGCCATAATTCCGTTGGCTACTCAACACAGCATGTTATAAACCTTTACTATAGCCATCGGGGAAAATCATTATAACCAAAAAAAATTTAAATTTTGGTCGCGTATGATACATCGTACATCAAAGAGAGGCGATTTTTTTTTTGTTAAATAGGGAGGTATAGTATATAGAGTATTATTTTGGTTTTATGGCCTTTTTTGCATACATTTTAAATTATTCCTTTGACGCTTTTGAAAATTCGCTTTTGATTTGTTGCCGTCATGAGAATATATTTGCTTTTCAACTTCTTCGAGTTAGTTCGCGAAGAGACTCATTGGACTGTGTAGTTTGTATTTTGCCTGTATTGATCAGAAAGCACAAATATTGGAGTGAGTTAAACCTACAAAAAAACAAAAAAAAAAAACGCAAATAAGAGAAATTCATGCAAAAATGTCAATTTTAATTAAATTTTTTAATCACTTCAAAAAAGTAAATTTTTTACAAAACTTCAACCTTCATAAATGATTTATAGATACATGCTATACCATCTTCATGTGCCTGTAAGTTTTTTATTTCACTCCTGGTGTTTAAAAATCCTACAATTATAATCAGGGGTATTGTGGAATTCAAGACAGATTTGCGTAGATGTCAGAATTGCAAACCAATTCTGATTTTGAATGGTGTCACAGAATCTGATTGGATTTGCGTCTTTGCGAACATATGCAAAACCAATATTAGAATCAGCTGTCTATTAATATGACAAAATTTTCAAATGATTTATACATTTGAAATGCTGAACGAAGTCTACTAAAGGTTACAATGAGTTCCGCTATTTTAGCTTTTATTTTATTTGAAGAAAAAAAGCAACGAAAAAAATAAAAGGAATATATTAAAAGCGCAGAGTAATCCACTTGATGCACCAGGGGAGTCGCATGTGAAATTTGGTTTGCATTTACTTGTATGTTTGTATACATGCTTACTTTACAGATTTATATCACATTATCGGCTGAATAAAGACCCATCTGGGTGTTAAATTACGTTTGTTACGCTTGGTAAATTCGCTTAAAATATATTGATTTTTCCATAAACTCAATAATTATGACATTTTTTGTTTTATCTTATGTTTTCCCCTATAGAAATAACGATAAACTAAATCGTAACAATAATTTAAATAATTTTCTTCACTTACATTTCAAATCTGTCAGCAAAAATCCTATTGCTTTGCTTCTGATAACAAAACCGATAAAATTGGTTTCCGTGACACCCAAAACCGATACCATTTCTGTTTCAATCGTCAAACCAATAATATCTGAATTCATGACACCTATTACATTTTTTTATCGGTTTCAATTCTGATTCCGACAACTATCAGATTCTACAACACCCCTGAATATTTTTATTCGAAACCAGGCGACCTTTAAAAATTGAGTTGTTTTAAAAGCTGATATCTTGCTGATTGGTTTTAACCCTTAGATTTGGATATTTTGAAGAACAAACATTTTTGATCAATAAATGATATTTAATCTTAAGTGATATTTACATAGTTGTCACAATTGGAAACCAATTCTTATTTTCGATTTATAGAATCTGATTTTATTTGCTAAACCAATATTCCATCAGCTGAGCCGCTATTTATTAATTGGACAAAATTAACCAGCTAAAAACTTCAGAATTTTATAAATTTTTAACATAAAATTTAAACAGAAAAATATTTTTTAGAAGAAAGTATTGAAAAAGTAAATTGGAAATTTTACGGTATTTTAGAGAAATCATAATGATCAAAACTGTTTGGTGTACCCCCTTAAAACGTTAAAATGGTTTTAAAATAATTTTTATGTCCGTAGTTTATTTAGAGTAGGTTTTTATGCACTTTAAAATTAAGGCTGGATGAAGAAAATCGGTTTACTACTATTTCCGAAATCCGTGCGGATCTTATTCCAACTATAAGATATCACAACAACCCTCAATATTAATTTTTAAATTAAAACAATGACTCAAACACTTTAAATAATTTTGATTACTATTTTTAATTAAACTCAAAAGCAAAATGCCATGCGAAAAATTGGGTGTTTTTTCTCATGGAGATTTTTAGTTTTTGTACTTTTTGGTTGAATGCTGTTGTTTTCAAAAAACCAAAAAAATCAATTCTTAGATGACTGAAAAAAATACAATTACTTCGCGATAGTACGTTGTCTCGTTTTACCAACCTATTATATCATATTTATTTTCAAATGTGATAAAAAGGCAGATCCGTTTGCTTTTAAATGAGTTCGTTATGGGATAAGAGTAGTGTCCTATACTACAGAGCAAAGTGAAATAGAGAGAGCAAGCAGGTTGACAGCTAATTAAAAGTTTGACAATATACTATTTATTAGAATTTATAAGCGGGAAGCTTTGTTATAAAGTTAAATACAATACAACTAAGTTTAATATTTTGAAAGCAAATACAATTAGTAATACATTGTTCAAACCAAGGTCAGCCGCTCATTCAATTTGTTAACTCCAGCTTGTTGAACTTTTGATATCTTTCACTTCGTGAACGAAAAATTTCACAGTAATGGACGTCCTATAACGAATAGACGACATCTATACATAATATATTTATTTTTGTTTTCACGTGAGTTTTCTTTGAGATATAAGCCATAGACATTTTCAATTCTTAACAACTTTTGATATGGTAATTTTTATGATGATCTCGAGCTCTATTAATAATGAACGAATGTGTTTGTCATATACTTGTATGTTGCTTAATAAATTTTAAACGAAATAAATATCTTCTTCACACAAAAATGTAAAATAGAAAAATCTCTGGTAAATTCTAACCCTAATTGTATACTCTGAGAATTTTACTCCTTTGCATATAACTTAAGTTCGCACTGCATATACAATTTCTGGTTACATATGTGCTCTTCTTAACTTACATTTTATTGAATGAGAAGTATTAACCTAAAAAAACAAATCAAAGGCTCTCGTGAGAAAATTGCTTTTTTATTTTTTCATTGTCGAACAGGACATAAGTTCCTATGTAAAAAACATGTAAAAATAAATTATGACTGAAAAAATACTAAGCTAGGCATTATTTAATAGCCCGATGATTGTGGAGCACTGCCGTAACCGCTGCTACTTGGGGCAGCACCATAAGAAGCTTCACCATCGTATGAGGAGGCGGGAGCAGCATCATAAGATTGAGCAGGTGCAGCGCTGTAAGATGGAGCGGCGCTGTATGAAGAAGCAGGAGCTTCATTGTAAGATGGTGCGGGTGCTGCCTCATAAGATGGAGCTGGAGCTGAGTATGATGAACCACCATATGAAGAAGAATGATAGCTCTTTTGTACACCGGGCACAAGGGGAGCATCCACCTTTTTGCCTGGTTTGTATACTTTTACATAGACTGGGTTCAAGCTGAGTGGAGTTGGCACCTTGTTGATCACTTCTTGCTGATAGATCACTGACGGCTTGATCTTGTAGATGACTGGGGCAGCTTTAACTACAGCAGCTGGTCCACCGCCAATTTGAGTTGGAGGCAAAGCTGGCTGATTGACAATGATTGGAGGCAAGGGTTGTGTGGCGATCACTTGATGATTGTTTTGGCCAGATGGCACCAACAGAGAACGGTAGACACCTTGGTCAACTACATTGGGTGCAACGATATTGATATTGCCCTGACGAATCTTTGAAGCCAAGTTAGATTCAGCCAAAGATTCGGCAATGGCGTGGGAGTTCTTCAAATTACGATAGACTGGGTTGGAGTTGAGCGCATGCAATTGAGCTTGCACTTGACTAAGACGAGCCACTTCGGCAGGTGAGGACTGAATTTCAGCGTTGGCGGGAGTAATGGAACCACCAGCCTGTTGAGCACCACCGGCAGCAGCCTGTACTAATTCATGGAGACCATTCGACGAGGTCGCTGATAGGTAAGAAGCACCATCACCGCCACCCGAATGCGAACCATAAGAGGCCGTTGCGAGCTTTATAAAGAAATAGAAAAACCAAAATTATTGTCATGAAGTTACACTAATACAATTCGTGTAAGAGTTTTCATTTCTTCGTCCAAAATTTTCGTTTTCTTTCTAATTGTGTGCGTGTGTATAAAATTCGTTTACGTACCGGTGCAGCAACGAAGAAAAGTGTGAATAGGAAACAGTTCATTGTTTGATGATCTCTTTGATCTGTTTATGCCGATGGACTGTTCACTGAAGTGTGTTGTAATACTACTTGTACCGGAGATGTTATTGAGCTTTTATATATGAGAAGTGCACTCGGTTTGCCGTACGTGATTTAGACGTGAAATGCGAGCAACGCCATCGAAATGAGTTTAGAGTTTATTGGAGATTAGTTATGTGGCACGCGATAACTTGATGACGGTTGGTGTTAAATTGTTGTCCAATAGATAGCAATCATATTCGACAGATTTGACTGCTCACAACGTCTATGGCTGAGGCTTCCGCCAATAATACGCGAAGGGAGTTCTTTGTTCAACGCTACCTGGATGTTTTGGTTTAATTGATTTTAATTGTAACCTACTACACACTATCTCATCAAATTTGACTTGGACTGACAAGAAAAACAAATTTTCATGTATTTTAATACAATCGGCTTGAAAAAAAGCTTCTGAACAACGCTTAATCCAATTTTCCATACACTTGTTATAAGTCTCGTCTGGGATGGCTTTCAGTGCCTTCAGCGAATTATGTTTTTTTTTTTCGGTTTGTTCTCATTTTTGGAGTGCCATTCTCTAGATTGTTGGACGTTGTAATCGTACAGTAGTAAGCGCTCAATAACCTTCTATAAATTATTTAAGTTATTACATTTTCAAGTTCCAGTCTAATATATTCGAAATTTTTTATTACTGCCACCTGAATTCTATGCGGGCTTTCTTGCTGGGAATTTAATAAAATTTAGCAGTTGAATTGTTGAATATCATATATTTTTCTCAGACTTCTAAAACGAACAAAACCTTTCATGAACGTATGTTCCAAAGATATGAAATCTCATTGAATCACTTTTTGGGAAAGCTAAAGAAAAACTACTTTTTCGAAGCGTTTGTCTTTTTCTTACTCACGAGTGAATTCGTCGGGAGACGATTCTAATTTTCATGAGTCATGCAGCAATGTATTGTGTAGATGTTAGTTAGACGTTTTTGACCAATGACCTCTATTAACAGCGAACGATTATCTTAAATTTCATTCATAATTTATATACATTTATGTGTCGTGTTTATTTGAAACTACTCGGAATTAATTCAATGCTTTGTTAAAAAAATTTTAGACGCTAAAACATTGTTTGATAAATAAACTTCGATTAAGTAAAAAATCGGGAAGATTTAAAATTGGATTTCTAAGTAATTTCGCTACCGATATAGTCTAACACCAGTATATATTTATTTATATAATGGCATAGCGGCCTCTGTGCGTAAACTACCACAGAATGTTTGGGATAGATCAAAGTTTCCGGCCATATCTCAAGAATTTTTTTCCAAATACAGATATTATACAATCTTGTATCTGCAAGCAATGTCAAAACTCCGACTTTAAGTCAACTTTAAGCATGGAGTAATTACCTACCTTTATTATGAACCAATAGAGAATATTTCGAATATGCTTATAAATTGATAAAAACCAGGTAAGATAAGGATAGATCTAAACATTTTTCTGTGCGAATGTGTTTATCATGATGTACTCTTAGTGAATAGATTACTGTCTCATAAGCAAATATGTAAGATCAATATTTACTCACGTGGTACAAGTCTATCATGATAAAAAAAACTCTTTCAACAACACAAAATTTTTTGTTAAAAATAACAGTATAAACGTTCGAGAACCGAAAGTGTTCATATAAGAAGAGTTGGAAATCTTCTCTCTCTCTAATCAGTTATCAAAATATTAAGTCTACTTCCTTTTTCTGACCAACAAAAATGGATTTTTAACACCACATGTTTATTATTTTCATTTATTTGCTTATTATCTCAGTCTTACATACTTAAAAACTTAATTAGATAAATAACTTAGTACTTTAATGCTAACGCCACTACAAGCCCTCTTGGTAGAGCACTCCATTCGAACGGCTACTGCGGTTATACTCCTGATAAGTAGTAGCCGGTTGTGTCTGTTGCATACTGTATTCACCATAAGGAGAAACCGAGCGTTTATTATACGTATAACGGGATTTTATTATGTTGTTGGCCTTAAGGTGCCCATTGGGTTGTTGCATGGGCATAGATCCCATATCGGGTGGATATACACCCTGATTATAATAATTCGGAGTTGGGTATGATGTTGGTGATGAGTATTGTTGTTGTGGGTGTTGTTGTTGGTCATATAGTGTTGTTTGTTGGTATTGTGTGGGATATTGTGAGCCTTGCATTTGCAATGGGTATTGTGTGTGTTGTTGTGTTTGTGCGAAATTTGTGTTTGGTGAGTACTGTTCCAATTGTTGGTAGTGTTGTTGTTGTTCATATGTCATTGCAGAGTATGGATGTTGAGTGTATTGTGTATTTACGCTTTGTGTCTGCTCTCCGACCAGTGTCTGCTCTTTCTGGAGTTGTGTGGATTGTGTTTGTGTATTTTCTGTATAGTTTTCTGGATCTGTAACATTTATCGGTTTGCGATGATATATCACCGGTGGCATTTTGACCAGCACTGGTGCATCATTCGTTTCCAATTCGATAATTTTACTCGACTCTGGCAAATTAACCACCACAGGTGTTTCTTCAAGCGCTTGATTCATAATTGATGTGTCATTTGGATATTGACTCTTTTTGGCCGCTGTTTGAGTATATTCTGGTGCGTATTTTAAGTTAATGTGCTGGAATTTTTTATATTTCTTCAGATCTTCTTTGTAATCGTTTTTGTCTACCACATTATTGTAGCATTGACCAGTACCACTATATGATTGCTTCGATGTAATATCCGATTCGGTTTGTTCTTGTTTCGTATTTTTATCGTGCGTTATCGATTCGATAGTGGTTGCATCGTTTCCTGCTTTCGGTTCAGCCTTTTGCTTTCGACGTATTTTTCGTGATTTCTTGGTGCAATCAGCCTTTGCTTTCTTTTTATTCTTTTCCTCGGTTGTCTTTTCATTAGTTGTAGGTGTTTTAAACTCATTTCGTAACACTGGTTTGTTTATGAACTCATCTTGTACTTTGTAAGCGGAACCATTTTCGCTCATATTGTAGACGCCATTATAACGTTCTTCACCGCCCACCTGTAGGTGTATGGCATTCTTGAAATCTTCACCTAAATGTTCTAACCAAAACGCTTCATCCACATCACCGGAAGTGAAGAAGCGTGATGTCTGTCCCGTTTCACTTTGGCTGCCCTCACCATGCTGTTGTGCCACATCAACGAAATCATATTTATCGTCACTACTTTTGGCTGGTGCGTTAAGTTCAATGGTGCTGACATTCAAGGCGCTGGACTGAAGTGGAGAAATTTATGACAGGTAAGTTGTAGCTCATTTACACAATTACTTTTATAAACTGAATAATACTTCATTTCTTATTTTCAGTTACACACTTACATGCCGCAGTAGCAAAACCATCAAAACAATGCTGAACCGCCACGCGCATTCACCACGCTCGGCCGTCATATTAGCTTTCTCTTGTATCGCAGCAAGAAAATCAAAAGCAAAAAAAAACAAAAAACAATTGATTTTAGCTCAGTACAATTTCATATTTCCAACTGAACCAAATCACTATCAAGTATTGTCTTAAATATCTGAATTGATATGCATCTCGAAAGCATAAAACCCACAACGGAGCAAAAGTAACTTTTTTTCACCACGTTTACATAGTTCTTGCGTCTGACTTTCATTCTTCAATTTTATTTTTCTCTAAGCAGACGTGCTTGTGATGCGTTTTTTCTTGCGTTACTATGTATGGTTTGAAGTCGCCGTTGGTTTTGTTTTGAAATTGTTGAATAATTCTCGTTTGTAAATCGAGCATTTTTATTCTTCCGTAAATTTGGGCATAAAGGCCTTCGCTGCACATATAATTTTATAATAAAATATACTCATCTAAACATATTCTTGCAGATACATTCGTGTGAGTGTAAATATTATGCAAGAACCAAACTTGACACAACACTAAATTTTTTGTTTATATTTTAAATTGATTTGGCGCACATATAAAAAATAATATACATATCTAAGAAGTCTGTAAAATATACTCGTACCCGATTGGCTCTTTGCAATAACTGTAGTAACATATTACAAGAAAACATATTCTCTTGATTGTTTGATCAAATGTTGACCAAGAATATCTCACCAACAACATTAAGAGGGTTGGGAGATGTGTTACTATATTTCTGTATATATCAATAAATCTTAATTCTTACTTCTTTCTTAGCTGAACTTAAGTGGTTATATCCACTTGCAAGTACAAACCCAACGCTGTTTTTGTAATTTTTTTTGAAGAGGCATTATATTTATTAAACAAATACAAAAAATGTGCATTAACATAATTTACTGTACTTTAATAATGCATTTATTTTGAAATATTTTGAATAGCCTGGATCCCATAGCCGATCCCAATAGGACCTCCGAAAAAGGTGTTAGGAAGATTTTTCTGCTTAAAATTAACTCCAATCCAAAAACCAAAAATTTAATATTGCTATAGAAGAATAGAGGTAATGATTCAAGTATTAGTCAAAATTTTAATCTTTGACAAAATGGTGACTTCCCAAAAAAATTTGTAAAAAAATTTACCCCTCAGATTGGTTTGCAGATGCGAAATTATTATTATTATTATTTGAAATTATTTCTTCTATCAGTACCTGACAAATATATATAAATATGACATGTGAAAATTTTAATTCGAAAGGTCCAGTCATTTCGAATAAATTTTCCTTATCGTCTCTAAAAACAACGTTTCGATAAAAATGAGTTTAAAGTTTTTTGAGCCGATTACACTAAGTTAAAAAAATCGTACAAATACGTTCATATCTCCGAAACTTTTTGCCGGATCAACTTAAAATTTTCGAATATATATGATAATTCTATTTGCATATAATATATGCAAAAAATCGATTTCATTAAATTCACAAGTGGATATAACACCTTAAGCTGATTTTAAAAAGGTAGATAAGCTTTTCTGTATAAAGTTTGATCTACACAAGTTTAATTCAAATTTGTTTTGTCATTAAATTATTTAATAATAAAATTAAGAAGAGCACTATTCTATACACAACACTGACTTTAAGAAAAACTTTGTTTCAATGTTATCATTTAGAACTACAAATTAGCTGACCGTTCACATTAAGTAATATCTGCAAGTTTATGCCATTTTCAAAGAAAATATTTTTAATTACCATTCTTTTATCAAAATTTTTTTCCTTTTAATTTCTCTTTTTTAGACCCAGTGTAGACATTTAAAGATTTGCTATTAACTTGCTCGACTCCAACAAAGCAGCTGATTATAATATATGTGCGGTACGTAAATTTTAATATTTTTTATATTGACAAATATTTTAAAAATATTATTTAATATAAACTTTTAAAAATAATAAACACACAATATTTTTTTAATAACATCATCAGTAAAAGAGTAGATCCGCTAAAAACAAAACTGTCTTTTACGAAACTATAACACTTGAGGCAAGCAAGAAAGAAAAACACTCCCAAATCTAGCACCATTACAATAAATATATTACCACGATTTACTACACTACAAGTACTACTATACAAGTACTACGTAGTTCATTTGGCGTACCAGTTGCTCTTCTAATGAACATCTCTAATCTAATTCATAATACGAAATTCTTTTTTATGAAATTTACGTTTAAGTTTATTCATGCAAAATCACGCATGTTTTGTGACTCTTCATTTGTTAGAAAATATTTTTTCCCACATAACCCCTAGAGGGTTTTTCGAAATTGTCTTTTTTCATTTTTTAGAACACTTTGAAGGGAAAGACGCGAACGGTAAATCTAGTAAATTATGTTAAAAATTTCAAAGGATCGGTAAAATGTGGGAAAAACGCTTTAAAGTTTTGAACACTAAAAATCTGATGTAAAACTTTCTTAAGACAGGTATACAAATATTCGTAACTTTGCCAGTTTTTCTACAATCGACTTGAAATTTTGACATAATATTCTTGAAATATTAGCATTCAATAAATATTTCGCTGAATAAAACTAGTCCCATGCTATCTCACATTATACGTTATTGATCAATTCAACGATTTTTAGAGAATTTTTATGAAACCCCATAGCAAATCGCTAGATTACTTCTAAAGCGACGTTTTTCAATGTCTGGTTTACAACCGTCTGTTAGTTAAGTTCTGGTTAACTCAACCAAGACTCCTTATTTCGGTTGCTAACCAGACATTACAATAAATATATATATTCTTAGGTCATGGCTTACTACTGCTAAGTATGTCATGTATTAGACATCATTCGAAATCAAAATACAATAATTTAGTAATTTATTAATAACGTTTGGGAATCAGTCAAACATTCTCACCAACATAAAAATAGGTTGGAAGAGAAAGAGAATTATCTTCAATAGCCTAAAGAATTGCTATAATAATATAAAGCATTCCCATAATATGAATACAATTTTTGGCGAATGATACCAAACTTATACTAATCTTTTTTTTTCTGTTTGGTTGGCATGACATCTGTCAAACATATTCAATAACCTTACAGTCAACGAACAAACAACATCACCTTTCACTGTATTAAAAATGTTAAACCGCAAAAATGTACCGTAAAGTAATGATTTGCGAAAAGCATTAATTTTACTAGCTTGTCGAGGCATATGTTGATCATACTCTATCAGAAGTAACATGCAAAAGATGGTTTCAACGGTTCCGAGATAATCAATTTATTGTGAGAAATTAAGAACGTGGAAGACCACCAAAAAGGTTTAAAGACGCCGAACGGCAAGCAATATTGGATAAAGACAATATTTTGAGTCAAAAGCAAATGGCAGCCATGTTAAATGTTGCACAACAAACAATTTCAGACCGTTTGAAAGATATGGGAAAGATCCAAAAGTGTGGAAAATAGGTGTCACATGAATTGCATGAAAGACAAATAGAAAACCGAAGAAACACTTGAGAAATTTTGCTTCAAAGACACGAAAGAAAATCAGTTTTGCATCAAATTGTCACTGGCGATAAAAATGAATTTATTTTAAGAATCCTAAACGAAGAAAATCATGGGTTTATCCGGGACAATCATCAAAATCGAATGCAAAAACAGAACGATTCGCTAAGAAGGCATTGATCTGTGTTTGGTGGGTTGAGAAAGGTGTGGTATATCATGAGCGTCTAAAACCTGGTTAAACTGTTAATACTAATCGCTACAAACAATAAATGATCATTTGAAACCATGCATTGATCGAAAAACGCCAAGAATGGGCCAGAAAACACGGTAAAGTAATTTTGTTACACGACAAGTACCTGCACACAAAGCAAAATCGGTTTAGGATCAATGTACTTGGCTGATAGCTGCTATCCCACCCGCCGTATTCACCAGACTTGGCACCTTCCGATTACCACTTGTTTTCACCGATGGTGCACGCATTGGCTGAGCAGCACTTTGATTCCTACGCAGAAGTCGAAAATTGTAGGTCTGATTGGTTTGCTTTAAAGACGTACATTTCTATTCGCATGGTATTCACAAACTGCCAGAAAGGTGGTCAAAATGTGTAAAAATCAATGGCCAATACTTTGAATAATTATTTTTTACGTTCTCTTTCAAAATTAGTATTTAATTTTCACAAAAATTCATAATTTTATGCCGGTACACCTGGTATATCAATATTCTTCTATTTGTAGGCTGCATTTAGACTTCACACATCACTGTTAGAGAAAATTTTTTCTTGATCAGTCCAATAGTATCGCTTTCTTGAATTATACTGATTAATGTAAACTTGCGCTATACCACCGCATAACCACTGAACCGAAGCAGAAGACTTTTTAAGCATAATTTTTATATTAATAAGTACTGCTGTCAAACACATTGATCATTAAGTTCGTATTTAATTTTAACGTAAGCATCATTTGGTCGTACGTATCACAGTTTTATTGTAGTAAGTAAAATCGTAAACAAAATTTACTTTTCATAATTATTTCAATTTCATTACTTGGTTTCGAGTTCAGCAAATATTCAAAGCTAATACTTAAATGTTATGTCGGAAAAACCTTGCTTACATATTATAGATAATATTTTCTGCTAATATTGATTAAATATATATTCTTAGGTTCCAGGTACTTTGATTTTGATATGTTAAGCTTCAATGATTAAATTTTCGTAATGTTCAACAATACATATAAAATGGTACGAACTTGAATTTATTGAACTATAATTCATCAAATAATCATTAATTCTGTCTCCTTGACTTCCAAGTTTAGATGTAGATTCCATTAATTAAGAAGATTTATAGACTTAGTATTTTACTTTGTTTCCTAACAAAATTAGCTCAAACCTAAAATGACCGTTACCACTACTACTAGTCGGGTAAATTTTTAAAATATTATTTTCAAAAAAATAGCTATTTATTGCTATGAAACATCTTCTAGATGAAAATTGGACCAAATAACAAAATTGACATTGAAACATCGTCTAGATGAAGATTAAACCAAATAACAAAATTGACATTGCTGCTTCTAAATTTTCCATGTTTTTGTGTGAATCGAAATTTATGCGTTTCTAAAGTTGGTTAATTATAAAAATGTTTTATTGTTTGAAATTTTGCACAAATATTTGTGTGTGCAGAATTATAAAAGATCTACGCACGGTGCGTACTTTAGCTAATCGCGAAATCAGTAACCAGCTTGTTCATAGCTACAAGAAAGAGAACAAGAAAACAATGAAATGCTTAAGTGAAGACTTAAAGTATTTTAGCTTAATAGTAACATTACTGTGTATAATTTATTAAAACTAGTTTTGCAGCTCTTTATACATTTTTACAACTACGACTATAGTTTCGAAATTACAGATATATTTTGAGAAGTTTTCGAAAAATTTGTTAAACCAAATTGTTAAGAACTTATTATGGTATTTGGAGATTAGAACAGCGGCGGTAGGAGGTCGTGCAGCTGCGGTATAGCGTAATCATGCAAATCACTGTTGTAGCTTGGACTATATTGCTGTGGATTATACGCATTCTCTTGGCCAAACCACAAGCTCAGTCGGCCATCGATAAGTTTCTTAAGAAATGATATTGTTTCTTGCTCTTGCAAGGGCTCCGGATCTACTAACGAGCCACCATAGTGTTTTGTAGCATCAATAAATTCCGGATGTCTGTATACAATATCAGCAATCATCTTATCTAACTGTTCGTCAGTAATATGTTGCGTTGGATAGTTATGAGCGTGGGTTGAATGCGGTTCACCATAAGGTTGACTGCGGTAGATCTGTGATGGTGCTTCTAAGTCGCCAGCATAGCGTAGTGGTGCAGCATTATGATCCAGTGCATCTGGCATCGATATTATAGTGGTCTTTGCATCCAATTCACCATTATTTTCTAAGTACTTACGACCCAAGTGATCGTTAAGGTAAGGTAGTGCTGTTACTGGTGTTTTTAGCGCCGTTTTCGAATGTTGCGGCGCTGCTGAATTGGCAGTTTTTTGGTATGACTGTTGTGGCGGCTTATAATTTGGGTTAGTGTAAATCGGTGGCGTTGTTTGCGAATGTGCACGATAAGCTCTTTTCTTTAGTAATGCGGACAAGCATATTTCACATTCGGGGTAAGCTGACTCAGACGTTGGCGTTGACCTACCGGTGTAATAGTTAGCTGCATTGCGTTTTTTGTATGAAGAGCCAATGGAATTTTCTGGTGTAGAGTCATTGGTTTCTTTAAGAGGGCTCTTTTGAATCAGCTTCTCCTTCTCATACTGTTTGAGGTGTGTATTTTCCGTATTTGTGTCTCCATTCGAGTCTATGTCCATGTCGATACTGTCTCCTTTGTTGCTATTGGTATCGGTATATGTAATAGTAACGGCCGGGTGATCTGTGTTCATTTCATGACTTAGCATGCTGTATTCCGTGGAGCTGTTTGGATTACTGTCTGTGTTGGTGTTGGTGCTCGGGTTGATTTCGGCTGACTTTGGCTGATGCGAGTGTTGTGTAGCACAACCGAAGTAACATTGACCCCTCTTAAAATCGGGCTGCAATGTTTCGGGCATGAATTGTATAATTTCAGGCAATGTCAGATCCATCTGCTCACGTTCCTTTTCTAGCAGTTCGTACTCACCCTTGATATCCCGCTTCACAAGACGTGAGCGTTGATGTGTATATCGTGTCTTCTTCGCTTTACGCTTCGGCTTCTTCTGTGTGCTTTGCCGTTGACGGCGTTGTTGTTTGTTGCTCAGATCCTCAAAGTCGAACAAACGGCGTGGTTTTTCGGACAAATTCTTGTGATATAATTTTACAAAACGACTCGGTCGCTCCTTGGTATTTTTGCGTGGTCCAAAGAGGGTGCGATGTAAATCGCGTTTACATCGTTTATTAACAGCGCTAACCTCCGCACCGCCACTGCCGCTATTGACGTATCCGTCATCTCCTTCACCACCACCATTTGCTAAGGGCATTGGCTCTGACATCATATCACTAAATGTTTTACCCATAAAAATCGCATTTGGCGACAATTGTGCTGTTTGCGCGCGACACAGATTGCATTTGCAGTTCGGTCGCCGACATTTGCAGGGTAGTGATGGAGTGGCCATATCATTAAATACGTACCTATAAGACGGCTTGGAGATGCCGCATTGTCCGCAACGGCAGGTGGACGGCGCAGATGGTGCGGCATAGCTATCTTCACAATCTTCAAGAAAGTAATTGTTACAATTGTTTCATAGATACACATACACACTCGTTAACTCACCGCCCTTATTGATCGCCACACGATCAACCTTGGCGTATAAATTCAATTGGGATGGCTTAGTAGGTTTCGGTGCGCGTGGCTCTTCTACCGAGAAATCAAAACTGTACGAAACTTTTGCCTCTGTCTGACGCGGTACTTCCACTTTATAACCGTATGCATAAGGTGTGTGATACTTCTTCGGTTTCGACACCCTCGGCACATTTACGGAAAAGTCCAATTTTGATGGACAATCACAACCTTCACCGGTATAGATGACTTCAACCGGTATGCAGTGGGCCAAAGCAATCTACATTTGATATTATGGGAATTTCACAAAAACAAAAACAGTTCATTAGTCCATTACTCTACATTTCAAGTTGGTTTTGCATTTGTCGGTCAGCTTACCAAACTCAGACAAAAAAACAATGCGATCCACGCTAGTTTCGCGTGCAAACCCATTTCTCGTTTACTACAAAGTGGCTCTTCAAGTTTACCGGAACTTTCACGTACTAACTGCTTGCCGTCCGGTAAATTCATCTTTATATAAATCACAACTAGTCGCTACTAATTGATGGAAATGGCTTAAATCTATTTTGAATATTTACTATGCGTTGTGTTCTTGAATTCGTCGTGTTTGTGACTTCTGGCATGTGAAATGTGTTCAGCATTTTGCTTCCAATTTCACTTGACCTTTCGCAGTTGTTCAAACGGGCAAGAAGAGTTTTCACAAATTGCACGTTGTGTTGTGTGCTGAAATAATAAAATAGTATGGTTATTGGTGAAAGCTGTGCTCTTCTGACACGACGCTTCTTCTTGTGCGGTGAAATGTGTTTGAGTTCAACGTTTTTTTTCAAGTACACACGCTTTTTAAACGGTTTATTTTTGAATGTTTTGAATTGAAATTCGGAAGTGCAAGAACTCAAGTCTGTTCGTCTGAGAAATTAGCTCATTTTGCATACATTGCTTCTGACTGTAATGAAAGAAAACAGGAAAAATATAGAAAAAATATAAAATAGTAAATAACTCTTAAAAGAAATACTTAGTGCACGTGGCTGAGAGAACATTTCTTTCATTTCACGTAATTTGTTATATTTACATTCATGAAACATACAAGTTTCGGGTTTTCTACGTCATTTTTTTTTGAATACCCAGCTTACCTTAATTCATTGGGTAGCCATAGCGATTTCAAAACTGGTTTAAAAGTCAAAGCTTAAACAAGCGGAAGACAAATCTGGAGATTTTCGTACCACTTCATAACTACAAATATTCAAAATATTTTTGTTGCAAAAATTTACTTTAGTTTTAATCGCTGTGTACCTATCCTTAACAGTTATTTAGTCAAATTACTGCTACAAATTAAGTAGTTTGTCTTGATGAAACGACTGGAAGGTTCTATAATTTTAAATTAAGTTTCTACCATTGCACAGAGAATGGATGGATGGATTAATCCGTAGTAGTATACTTACATAGATTTGATAATAAGTCTATTAGTCTCTTTTAAAAACGAACTTAATTCTGCTTTCTTTTGTCGATTTTTACAAGAAATGCGAGCACGAGGGCCGAAGATATATTTAGGAATAAATCATTGCTATTAAAAGTAGCATCTCACTGTCATGTCAGATTTGACCCCGACGGATAAAACAAAACTACTTTACGTATATTAATAAAAATCATTATTAATGCCTTCAAAAGTGCTTTGGAGTCAATACATGTATGCTAACGCTTAACCCAATTTTCCATACAATTGTTAGAAGAATTTTGTTTTTTTCGGTCTCGGCTCATTTTTGGAGCGCCATGCGTAGTTGGACAGTTTTGACGTTATATTCATAAGCCCACGTCTCCTCACCAGTAAAAAAATGTTATCAAGCATCTCTGTTGCGACTTCTACTCGGCGAGTCTCACATTGATTGCTTCATACCCAAAATTTTAACCAAAATGTGTTGCGACGGTTCATAAGAGATATTGAGAGCCTCTGCTATTTTTCTGATGCCAACACGACGATTTTCAAGCACTGTTCCATTAACGTTTTCGATGTTATCGTCAATAGCAATGATGGATGAGCAAACCGCATGAAGCAGGTTTTCGATGCTTTCACGACCTTCACTGAATACTTTGTGATACTCAAACGCTTGTGTTCGTAATAAAGTATACTCCTCAAAACACTGCTGCAACATTTTTAACGATTCCGTAGCTGTGATTTCATTGGAAACACAAATTTTCAAGCAAACTCGTTTTTTTATAGTGAAAATCGCCAGAAACACTTTTCGCATCGCAAACAAACAACTGCTAAATACACACTAGTTGACATTTGGAGATCAAACTTCACACGAATATAAAAAAGGTTGTACCAATCCAGAAAAAAAAATTTATTGATTTAGTTTGCGCGCGCAGTTTATATCAAACTATCTTGGACAGATATACTTAACCATATTTTTTTGTAACCAACATTAATGTAAGTTTAGTGAAAGTTTTACATTTGATCAGTAATGGAACGAACATAACATTAGTACCGTGTTCTTTTGCTCTTTGATGCCTAAATGTAGGCAGTCATTTACTTAAAAAGCTAATAACTGTTAATTGATCATCACTACAAAGTAAAATATTTGCGTTATTAACTGTTAAGTCGCTTAGAATAGATGGTGTAAGTATGGTAAAAGCATTAGGTATAAGTATTTAAAAGATGCGAAAGATTAAAAGTCCTATTAGTTGCCAATGATCAGTAGCCAATTTCCATACGTAATACAAATTTCGGTGTACGTCTACTTAGAAGCTACTATACTTGCGCTAGTTGTCATACATAACAGAGCTGTTAGTATAGTTTAAACCACTTGTAAAATTATAGTTTACAATTTCAATTGCCGTTCAATTTGAATTTTTCCGTAATTACTGAAGTGTATTTTCAGGTTTTTTCGATAAATATTTATTTTTGGAAAGACATACTTAACTGTAGCAGCTTTAAGAGCAATAAATATTTATATTGTTATCAAATTTTTTTTCAAGGAAAAATGAAGAACTCGTTAATTATAATGTTATATAATGGGGTATGATTATTATTATTATTTGGCATTATTTTAAAATAAAAGAATTTGTGTAACTTTTACAATTTTCGATATTCTCCTTATGCATTTATTAATGTTTTTTCTACACAATGTTATGTGAATTTAGTATAGATATTACAATCAACAATAAAAAAAGATAAAATTTTAGTATTTTCTGTTCCTAATTTTTTTTTTGTCCAAAAAGAGCTCTTCTAGTAATAAATAAAAGAGTTATGAAAGGAACTCTGTTTCCACGTTTTTTTTACAATTTTTCTAAAATTAAAATTTTTATAAAAAATGTCTCTTGTTTGTAAAAGTAAAGAGGGGGTTATTGTGTCAAATTATACATTGAATGCACTACATTCCGCTGAACTTGGATTCGGTCACATAATCCGTCCAATAGCAATAAAGTTTCTTCTAATAACTGTCGTCTTCGACATTAGTCAACAGCAAACATTCGAGTCCCATTTTTGCTATGGAAAAGCTTTGGAAAAAATGAATCAATCGATTTAACACAACTACTACTGATGATACATGTTATATAGTACTGCTCCATTTAAAGCTGAGCTCTTTAATTATAGGGATTTATTATAAACTTATTTTCCATACACATTCTAATGTTTATTCGAAGATATTCTCCAATTTCGGGTGGGCCTTTTGATGGTGTCTCTAACAAAATAAGTGATTTGTAATTTTTAAAATATCGCCAATTTTAAATTGACAATTTGTATATTTTCTTTATAAGAACGAATCACACATTTACATGTATTGTGGAACTATGCGTTTTATTGTTATTTTTCATGAGATTAGAAGCTCTAAATATATATGGCTTAACTGAGCTCATTTCATATAGTTCAGATCATTGATATATTGGGTAATTGTTAATTGTTTACTGATAAGTCCACAATGAAAAGATAGTAACAGCTCTATATTACTAATATTTTATTTATAAAAAAAATATGTTAACGAACTTAGTTTTTTAAGAAATATTATATATATATGCAACTAAGTACTATGAATTTGAAGAAAATAAAGTAGCGTGTGCAATTTGATAACCACTAATAATATGCTGCCGGCTCATTTTGTGGTTTTCGTTTGGTGTACGCCGCCATGCGTCCGGGTTTAAAACCACAATCCACCTTCACTTTATACGGTAACGGATAACCGTCTTCATGCGAATAATAATCATCACTATAAACTGTGCTGATTTTACGGAATTTCGGATTCTTAAAATGTTCGGGCACATAACCCAATTGCTGGTACGTAAGTTGTTCAAGCGTATCTCCCGTTTCTACCAATTCTTCCTCGTCAACTTCATCCTCCTCAGGCAGCGGAGCTGGTGTAAGCTTAGGTTTTTTAAACGTAATCACATTATTCTTCAGTTTAAAGAGATTTTCCTCTGGTACATTGGAGAAAGTAATCTTTTTCATGCTATCTATCGGCTCCTTTGCAAAACCATAGGCAAGCTTGGCTTCTGGCACCGCTATCGCTTTATTAGCTTGCAAAGCCAGACTTATGCTTATCGGATCGGCAGGTACAATGCTATCCTTTGGTTGCGCATAAGTTGCCCTGTTCAAATAGAAATTTGATATGAGTTGTGGAGGGAATTAAGAGCTTAAATGCAGCAGACTTACTCAGGTAAATGATACACAGGAATTGTCGACGCTGACGAGCAACCACATGATGACGACTTGTACGGTTTTGGTGGTGTTGGTGGCAGAGGTGCTGGCTTATAGTAGTCACCTGTTAGTGGCGTTTTATAAACTGTTGGTGTTGGTGGATAATAACTTGAAGGTGACGACGGTGCTGAGCACTTACAAACTGAATTTTTCGGTGGTGGCTTCTATTTGGACGAAAAGTAGAAGAATGATGTTATTACTAGATGGAACGATGTAAAGCAACAAAAAGCGCGCCAGAAGCGTGCGTGTATGATAAGAAATAAATAGAGACGAGCGCATGTTTGTTGACTTAAAGCGCACGTTCAACGAAAATAATGATGATTTCAATGTTGTTTGTATGTTGATAATGTTTAGCAAAGAATGAGCATGATGTCGACACAAAGTACAGTGAAATGACGCATATATGGTAGAAGATGAACTATGCATATACATATGAATGTGGAAAATGATGACAGTTGGCTACTCTTACGTATACTGGATGACATGAACTATGGTAGAAATATTTACTAATCACTATTTAGTACTTATGTGCTCATAGGCAACTGTTCGGTTTCGACATTTTCTAGATTAGTGAGACGTTTCTGTATACGATTAATGCATTGATGTTTGGTATTAATCATGGCTGCTAGTGCTTTGCGTTTTAGTAAATTATTCCATTTTCGAAACCAATGAAAAATATCACGTACTTTATTGCTACATGGCTTGGGCAATGCAGCCGGTTCAACGAATAGCTTGTCGCAGGAACAGGTGTCGCCGATGGGTGTGAGCTCCACCTCTGAATTGAGACAGCCATGACGTGGCTTAGGCCGCACGAATGTGGGTTCCTTGCACTTGGCACAGTAATCGACGCCTTTCTCATGGCAAACACAAGCGGCATTCACCTGTAGGTACAGATATTTTTTACAATTAGAATTATTTCAAACTATCGCTTTTATATCCATATTTGAATAATTTTTTGTTTTATTATTTTTTTTTATATAGTATTTTTTTGTATATATATTTTTTTTAACGCATTTTTAATACGCTTTTATTAAACTCACCGCTAAAATGAACACAAAAATTAACAAAAGTCCATAGTATATGGATTTCGGTGACATTTTAATAAAACGTTCCTCACAAATTGTGCTCTCATAAACAATTCAAATACACATAAAACAAATACAACCCTTTTCTGTCGCGCCGAGTATATAAAATTATTTTAAAAATAACGATTTTTTCCGTTAAACTACTTCCATCCAAAGCTCGGATGTCGTATAGTCTAGCGCTGTTATGTCTTTGAAACCGTTCTAAAAATATTTGTTCTTTATATAATGTACCATTATTCTGATCTCTAAATCTGCCATATGCATCGTCCACTTGTCTGCTTCGTGCAAAATTGCGTGCTTTGAATTCTCTTTAAATTAGATAAAACTTCGCTTTGCTAAGCCAAGTCTTCAGCAATAACTACGTATGTGCATACATATGAGTATATAAAAGTTAAAAGTTGGCGGAGGTGAGTTTCAGCGCTTCGTTTAAGTCGTTATTATGTGAATTTGGTGCTGGCCTAGTGCTCGTGGTTTCTCTTTGTAAACAAACCTAAACGTCAAAAAGTTTCATTAATACTTTCTTGCAGTAAGGTCAGCTAGAACTTATGAATTACAATGTAGAAATTTAGAAAATGATGAAATTATATGAACAGCACATGTATTTTCGTTAGACTTTGTTGTCTTACTCTAAGGTTTTCCATTTGCTTGTTTTTACACTTATTATTGATGGTTAAACTTTACCAATCGGTTGCTATTACCTGTAGTAGTGTGGAATGTTATTCATCTCGAAATAGTGAATGCCGGTAATCTCTACTCGATTTCCAAATTTCAATAGTATATATCGCAGTATGATCCATTTCGGGACTGGACTTCACCATAAGCAACCATTGTATGAGCTGCCATAATCTACATACATATGTATGTATATAGTCTTAAGACGTTATTCCCTGTTGAAGGATCCAATTAACTGATAGTCCTAATTTTTCTATGCTTGGAGCAACGTTATTTTTCAAAATACTTAAATAATCCAATTTGTTCATTGCGGACTCAATGAAAACTAAATTCCCAACATCAGATGCTGCCATACAGTCCGAAACCATAACCGACCGTCCACCGTGCTTTACGGTGTTGATAACACACTTATCATCAAAGGCTTTACTTTTGGGTTGCTGAATTCGAGAGGGGTTTTTCGATCCAAATCCCTCAAATTTAAGGTGGAAAACGTCAGTTTCTTATGAAATATGGCTATTGTGATACAAATAGCTCGGGCTGAAAAGTCTCTCGACAAGCAAATGGTTTATTTTGAAAAGATCTGTTCACATTGATAGCGTTCGAGTTAAAGCTACACTTTGACAATCGACTCGTAATATTTTGAGTAATCGGAACAGGATGCTTCTAAGTCCAAGAAATTACTTATATCTGTAAAAGTTAGTTAAATGAATATATATATAATATTGCCAAATAAGTTCTTACGATAACGATAGCATTGTGGGCATTAAGCTCTAGCTGTATTCTCTTCTATGAGTGTCTCTGTACAATGAACTTTCAGTTTTTCGATTGTATGAAAAATTTAATTTTGGCGTGCCAAAAATCATATCATTTTGAAGCGAAATTCGCCATTTTTCTAGGAATTTGCCATTTTGTTAGATTTTAATTTTTTTGTAACAAAAAACAGTCATTTTATAAGAGCTATCTTATAGGAAATACCCTATACATTAATAATCTTTTTTTTTTAATTTTTATTTTTTAATCACGGCGAAAGCTGCAATCCCACAACGGTCCCACGTGGGTCCTTCAGTTGTGAAAGCTTTCAGTGTGGTGCCAGCTGATGGTAATAGAGGAAAATGAATGGGTCGATAATAGAACTAAGTGCAGAAGTCCTTGGCGCCATTATTCGAAGTTCGGAGCAACAGACATAGTTTTTGTTGGGAATTGTAAACTTGTTCTACTTAAAACATTATGATGTTAGCGCACAATGTACGTTACAAAGAAGAAAAATTCGTAGAAACGAATTCACTTGTCCAAACTTCTTTTAAACTGAAATATGACTTTTGATTTTTCATTTGTAAGGGCCGACGTGGCAATTTGGCGATTTTTTTATTTAATTGTTTTTTGTTCCATGTACATAAGTATATTTGTATAAATATTTAATAAATTCTGTAGGTATTAGATGATGTAGATACCAGTTTAATGTGTTTTTCTGGCTTCTTTTATATTTTAAATAAACTATTATGCGTGCGAATCAAAATTTTTTAACAAATTTCTTCGGTAAGTTTCCAATTTTATATATGACGTTGTTTCAATTTACTTCTTTTTTAATCTATGTAAATTTAAATTGATAAGCATTTAAAACAAAAGCAAAGACACTTTTTAGTTGCCTATCTTGTGTAACTATTGACTTTTTTTAATTGAATATCTTGGAAAATTTTAACTCTTTGTTAAAATTTTATATAACCAAATGCAGAAACCATTTCAATTTGACTAATACAAGTATTAAAAACACATGAAAGCTTCTAATGAAACGTTTTTGCTGTGAAAAGCTCAAACTCGCAGGTTTCTATTGTGTCTAACGACATACTTATAACTTTTTTGTGAAATTATCTGTCGTATGTTTTGAAGCCGCCCTACAAATTTTCATAAGATTAAAACAACAAATTTTTCGTTTTCTTCTTCTTCATTCTCGCCATCTTCGATGTTAGCAGAAAGAAATTCTTTTATTATTTTATTTATGTAATCATCGTTTTCTTTAGCAAAATCACCATCAGCTAGCCAGGTCAACAATTCAGCAAACAATTTTAATGAAATATTACCACACATTTTAGGGATAGTGGATGTGAGATAATATTTCATTAGTGCTCCTCATAAGTTGAAAGTGTCGTAGTAATCGACATCATGTCCTGAGATAAAGGACATTTTCTGCAGAATATTGATCAACTTGAGCGAGGATTGCTTGGCGCTGACACGTGGCAATTTCAGTAATTTTTCATTAACATTCAAATCCAACAAATCGACCAAATTGTTATTCAAATCCAATTGTGGCTTGTGTGTTTCCATAATGCCCGGCGAATAGCTGATAACATTAACACCATCGCGACCCATTTCATTGGCCATTGACCGGAAGTACATATCACGTGCCTTCATGCAAGAGCACATCAATGCATTGTAAACGAATGGACGGATCATCAAGCTCGATGTGATGTTGATGACCAGTTTTGGGGTCTTCGAAAGCTGTGGCGCAGAAAGAAAGGCCTGATTGAGCGCAACTGGTGCGTAGAGATGTTCCTGTACGAAGGATAACCATTTGTCGGCAGCCTCGGGTTCCATCAGTTTATCAGTTGCCATATCGCCCTCATTGTGTATTATATATGCGAGTTCAAAATCACAGCTGATATTAGTGTACTTTTGCAAGATGGCTGCGAGTAGTTGGCCGAAGTAAACACCATTGGTCTCCTGCCACGCCTTAATGGGCCAGCAAATGACACTAATATTACGTTCAAGAAATTCGATTTCTTTCTTCACCTCCTGCATGTTTTCTTCAGACACGTCGATGAGTATAGCCACTGAACCGGCGCTGTATTGTCGGCACATTTCGATGGCCAACGACTTGCCCAAGCCATTGGAAACGCCACTTAGTATGAAGAATGTGCGCTTGCTTAAATCTTGCCTTAATGAGGACATGATTATTTTTTGTTATATTGTGTCTATTTTTGTTTTTGCTATAAACACTAAGTTTCTTAGCACTTTTACTTTGCTTCACCACTAATATTTATTTGTAAGTCCTTTGCGTATGAAATAATTTTTTAATTCCACCAAGATTTACTTTTTTAAAGTCAATTAGTTGAGTTGTTCGACCACCTTAGACTGCACAGTTGAACTGAGAATGAGCATAGCTCGTCTTATGCTTTTTAAAGTAGATAATGGAAGGCGTGACAGACAACCGAGTCAAAAGCGAATCTGCCATAGACATAGGAGAATCGTGTTGCCGAGCATATAATCTGAGAACAAAACCAACGATAAGCGGCGTAAAGCTGATAAGCGTTTCGTAATTGGGTTGGAGGCTGAGGTCCATATTTGTTCATTGATTCGTAAACACAGTGAAAGCTCTAATAGACGGTCGTTCCAATAGGCGGGCATGCCTTCTTGATGAAGTTCTACAATGGGGACAGTTTTGTATTTTTTATCAAAAAATACAACTCATCCTTTCTAATTTGGTTGTTTTCTAAGTTTAATGCTTCTCACGAACAATCACAAAATGCGATTTATTAAAAGTAATTCATTAGAAATCTTATTTGAATTTATGCTTGAATTTTGTAATCCCTACCTTCTAGAAGGATAAGTTTACTTTCGATTATATATGTAATTGTAACATACTTTTTTGACAGTTCTTTAAGGGGATATCTCTCATGAGTGGACCAAAAGTAACCCGGTGTTTGCTAATGTGAGCATTCACTGTTGCTTCATAACTATTATGGCGATATTTTTTCTGGGAACGTGGCGCGCTTGAAATTGTTTTCAATCAGTTTACATAATTTTGAATTTATTTTTTTTTTATTTTTTGTCACGACATATATACATATGTGAATATAGAAATTCATATACATACATACATGTATATATGTTATATATACTCGTATATAAAGAAATTAATATACATACATATACATATGTTATATATACTCGTTTATATAAATATGATTTTAGAAGACATTTTATATGTATATTGGTCGGAACCGGGAATAAAAAATAGAAATTCAGTAGTATCTACGCACCATGGTAGTAACAATAAAGTAATAATGGAATAATTTCTTCAATTATAATATTATATGCCGGGATTTTTAAAATGCATACATATGTACTTAGTCCTGCCATAAGTTCTGTTACAAGGTCAAACCGTCATAAAACTGAAGCTGTTATACATTTGTATACTCTTGCAACATGTTGCTACAAAGTATAATAGTTTTGTTCACCTAACGGTTGTTTGTATCATGTAAAACTAATCAAAATAGTAATTGTGTAATATGTGTATATACATATATCTACCTGTGCAAGCTGTAACTTGAGTAAAAATTAAGATAATAAAATGAAACTTGGTACACGTGCTCCTAGACCAAAAATGGACGATCCGTTCGTAGATGGGCGTAATCGAACCCGCCCATAAAACGCCATTGAACGAAAACCTATAAAGTGCCATAACTAAGCAGTAAATTAAGATATAGAACTGTAATTTGGCATAGGGGATCGCAGTAGTAAGGTGCACATGTGGACTGTAAGTTTTGAAAAAGTGGTATGTTAAATCAATGAAATGAATAAGCCAGAGACATTTAATTTTTCACCCGCGATGGTATGGAATGGCTTTATTAGAGCTGGTATCAAAAATGGACCATGGGCGGGACACCGCCCTCATTTATGTGAAAACCCATATCTCAGGACTTACCTGACCGATATCGACCAAATTTGGTATATATTAGTAGCTTGAGATTCCCTATAATCCAGTGCGAAAATCGAAGTTAAATTCCATCTGATTCTTTCATTTTCCAGTATGCAAATCAAGCACCAATCAATATATCGGCAATTAACTTTGCATGAATAGTGCGTTTAACGCTCAGATATCGAATACGTGGACCCCAGTTCCTACTGCAATGTATCGAAAAATGTATCGGGTTGAATCGGATGAAGGCTTGTCCTAGACACCATATATCAAATACAAAAATTTTAGAACTTCCGGTTTATTTTATGCCGCATATATCGGTCAATATGAGTTATCGTAGTGAAAAGGAGAGAGCGTGTTTTACTAATAATAGTGTATCTTTGTACCGAAAGAGAACCAAATCGGTTGAAAACTTGCCCTGGGCCCAAATATATCTAATATCCTGATTTTCGAACATTGGTGATGGTAAGTGAGGTACCTTAATGGACCTCAGCATATTATTAGTATGTTTCATGTTAATATTATGCGATATTTCAACAGCCAACTGTAAGCGTTTGGGAAAAACGATCAATACAAGTAGTGCGGTGAACAAACATTCTCGAAATATTAAGCTAATCACCGCAATACGATTTTCATTAGCTCCCTACTCCATTGTTAACACTAAACTGACTATTACATATAAGTAGACACTGTATACAAATTATAATAAAAAATAACGGCACTTTTTTCTGTGAATTTGTGCTCGATGTATGCATTGTAAACTTTGTAACAGAATTTATGGCAAGACTAAGTACATACTTGTATTTCAGTGTTCCCAACGCGCATAAAAGACAGCTTTGGTATATGGCATAGACCTCGCTCACGTGCATGTCTACTATACATACATATATTATCTAAAAATCTTGTCGTGTCTACGAGTATATATAATATTAAACTTGGGTTTTGTCAGCGTATAAGTGACTCATACTCATATGCTCCCGCAAAGTGTTCGAATCAGTAAAAACCTTTTTTAGGATGTGTGTACTGTACCGTTATTACATTTCCTGTTGTGATTTTCTGATGATACAATAATAATATGTACTTATGTATATTGATTAAAATGTTGATCATGACTGCTTAAAACAAATTATTAAAATGAGTGTCAATAACATACTTGGAACTGTATTGGTTATTGACTAGTTGCTGCTGTTGCTATGCGGTGTGTCAGTGAAGTACGATTTATAAATATTTTTAAATCATAAGTACAGAAATTTAAAATACATATTTCTCTATTGCAGTACAGACAATTCTGTGAAATCAGAGCTTTGTTCTTTTTTATTCCAACGATTGGGTATTTGTCTTTAAGATAGACGTCGCCTTATCTACTACAAGTATGTATACTTTCTTCCCCGGATTCTTCGTTGAGTGTATAATTTTCTCATTTATCTTTCCAGGCTAGGTGCTTGGCACAGTTTGATATTTTTAATGGGACATGCATAGTTTTGCAATGATTTAGAACATTAAGCTTATTTTCGCATAGTTCAAAGAGCGCCAAATATTAATCTATAAATAAAGTAAACCATGTGACCCAAATAAAACAATTGAAAACAAAATGCCCATGTGTTTACTTCATGGTTTCTCTACGTTTTAAGTCTGGTCTATATACAATAAATACTTGTACACATATGCTTTGATAAGATCTTGTTCTATAAAACATATGTAAATTGATTTCGAACAGGAGAATATTCGAAATTTACGTACTGTCCATATGAACTTTTCTCTTTGAATTTTTCTAAAAAGTGTAATAAAGTAATACCTCTTTAAAATGTCTACCAAACTATTCTGTTCAGATCTTATAACCTTCACCCCTCACCCTTCATTCAAATATAACCTCAATTTTGGAATCGAATAAACCAATGCAAATGTTTTTAGAGAAGCTGTTGGACATATTTTAGATGACATGAATCTAAATAAATCTGGTGACTTCTTTTATAGAAATTTTACTAGGACAGACAAAAAAAACATTTAAGGTATTTTAAAACAAATTTTTATTATCGCCCTCAAAATAGGCTACTGAACCAATGCAAGCATGTTAACGCTCAATCCAATTTTCCAAACACTTCTTATAAGCCTCGGCTGGGATGGCCGACAGTGTCTTCAGCGAATTTTAGGTCTTTCTTTCTATTTCGCGTATTTTTGGAACGTCATATTCATAAACCTGCGTCTCGTCACGTGCGTTTGATGCGATTTCGTAGCCGTGATTTCATGGTGAACACAAAATTTCACGCAAATTCGATTCCCCATCGTAAAAATCGTCAGCAAACTTTTCGCGTCGTAAACAAATAGCTGCCAAACATACACTAATTGATATATGGGGATCAAACTTCACACACGAACATAGAAAAAAGGTTGTAAAATATTTATCGTTTCGAACTAGTCCGGGTCAGATTTGTTCTGCTGATGGTATCTCACATATATATGTACATAACCCCGTTCAGTTATGAACACAATAATAGCATATCGCAATATCTAATTCTGATTGGGTAAGGAAATTATAGCCTCCTAACCAGTCTTCGAATCAAAGATCAAGATTCAAAAACTAAATAGATAAAGGACTACAGTAGAAAAATTGTATATAAACTTACGAATCATAATAGTCTCGTCGTAGATTTTTGGCCAAGCTTCTGGTTTTATATCTGGTCTGCGGTTTTGGTCGTATAATCGTACAAGATCCTAAAAATTGCTGTCGTCAAATATAAACATTTAGAGCAAAATGCGAGTGGTACGAAAAAAGCCGTCACAGAAGGCCGGATTTCAAGTTAATTTCTCTGAGTTAAGATTTTTTAATTAGCTACATTGTAACACAATATTAATGATGCCAATGTTTAAGAAACATTATCTATAACATTTAGTTCCATTAGAACGGTGAACCTACCTTAAGGCGTTATGTCCATTTCATTGAATTTCAAAAAGTTGATTTTTTTTTCTAACGAATATATATACATATATTTGAGAATATTCTCCGAAAATTTGAAGATGACCCGGTAAATAGTTTCGAAGATATGAGAGTATATGCAAAAAAATTTTAACTTGGCGTAATCGGTTCCCAACCATTTAAACAAAATATTATATTATTTGCCTAAGCAAAAATGTAAAAGCGTTCTGTATAAAATTCTACAAATAAAATTTTATGCGTGTAAACTTATTTCTTATAAGAATAATATAGTACATACGTATAGGATTCTGTGGCTTTTCGCAAGTCTAGCTCTAATACCTATGTGTATAAATACACATGTACATATATACATTATAATATGTGCACAACTTTTGAATTTGAAAGTGATAACCTTTTAGCTTTAAGAGTATGAGACCGCCAATCACTTCAAAATACTTTTCACTCATTTATTTGTATATGTTTATGTATATATTACAATCATTGCACTTACTCAATAACTCTCAAACCAGTGACCGTTTACAACAACCACGGCCCCCTTGCTGTAGATACCTACATATACTCGTATGTGCTATGATTCAGCTTCTTTTGGCAGCTGCGCTTTGGGGTGAAATTCGTGAATTTTATTGATGTTGGTGAAGTACCAAAACGAAGGTCTACCGCTAAACTCATTGTAACGTGAAACAGCTAGTAGAGAAGGCAAATATTTTTCAAATTTGTGCAACAAGTTGTAATTTTGACAAACATCACATATCTCAATAACTGCAGTTCAAAAAGTTTACACAAAGTAGTCACAAAAACAAACTTATAAACACGAAATAAATTACAGGCAAGAAAAATCAAGCGAAAATGGTATTGGATTTGGAAAAACGTACTTATCTATTTGTGACCGGCGCTTCGCGTGGCATTGGACAGTGTATGGCCATCGAAGTTGCAACCAAATTGAAGGCGGGTTCTGTAATTGTGCTCTTGGCACGTAGCGAACAAGGTTTGTTAAACACTAAAGAAAGAATCGAGGCATTGGGTAATGATTTGAAAGTTTGTACTTACTCGACGGATCTGAGTCTCGCCACAGCAACACAATTCCGCGAACTGTTGGAGAAGTCATTGAAAGGAGTAAAAGTAAGCGACTTTGAACGTGCGTTCATCATTCACAATGCTGGTACAGTGGGTGATGTGTCAAAAAGCGCCGTGGACGTGTCAGACGCCCATGTGTGGCAACAATATTATTATGTGAATGTTTTCTCTGTGATTGCATTGAATTGTGAGTTTTTCCAAGTTTTTAGTGGTACACCCAAAGTGGTGGTGAACATCACATCGAAATGTGGCATTGAACCCTTTGCTTCAATGAGTTTCTATTGTTCCGGTAAAGCTGCTAGGGAGATGTATTTTCGTGTCCTTGCCACCGAACAAGCATTGGATGATGTGCTAGTGTTGAATTATGCGCCAGGAGCAATTGACACAGAAATGACAGAGCAAGTTCAGCGAGATTCAACCAATAAAGAATTGGTTGGCCTTTTCAAAATGCAACGAGATACAAAAACAATGTTAACTCCAGAACAAACAACGCGAAAATTCCTACAGGTGCTACAGGAACAAAAATTCAAAACTGGTGATCATGTGGACTACTATGATGACTGAGGATACAATTAAAGTATGGGAAAACTATAGTTTTCCATAGCATAATGCAGGAATGTGCAAGTTAGGCCAGTCTCAAATTTTAGCAAACATATACATACATTTAGCTCCAAATAATGATGCACAGTATACATATACAATAATTTTGGTGTACACAAATTATAAATAAATATAAAGGAAGATATTTTGGGAACTCAATATAAATGTGTTTATTTATTAAAACAATTATATTTACAATAGGTTAGTTTTAAGATTTTTCTTTTAATCAGTTATCGTTACTTATTCATTAATTATTTCTACTATCAAATATGCTTATGAAACTATTAGTATTTTTTGTGTAAACCTGACATATGTTACCACATACACGCTACTGTGCGTTTATTTGGAAATTAATTTATATAATTTCCATTCTATTCCGCGTAATATGCAGTAGTTTAAAAGAAATCTGAGGCACGCAATCGTTTTGTAGGAATTTTCAGCAAATCATCGGTTAGTGTGGATTTGCCACTACTAATCTGTTTCGGAGTGTTTGGTGCGGAGTTTGTGCTAGTGCCACCTGATGGCGTTTTACGGGAGTTCACAGCTCTTGGTATTGGTGCGGCCCTCTGCATAGCTTTGCCTGGTGTACGTTGTGGTGTGGGCATAAGCGGTGTTGTATTTAAACCTAATTTGGAGCTGGCTAATCGTCTTGCTGCCGGTGACATTGATGCCAATCGCTCCATATTTGAACGTATAAATGGTGAATTAATATTTTTACGCGCTGTATCAGCAGCCCTTTGCTTTTGTGCACGCATCTTTTCACCTACTTTTTCTGCCAATGCCAAAGCAATATTTTCACGTCGTGAATTTTCAGTTATTGTGAAGGCAGGGCCGACATTTGGACGTACTGGTGTGTCAGATCCATCGAGTCGGAAGGGTGTACCTTCGATTTCACCCCACGTCATGATTGGTGAAAATGCTTCACCTGGACGTGGAGAAGGGGTTTTTACTAAATTAAAGCCACGCACTTGAGGGCCTTCACTCTCGTTGCCCGGTGTTATGACGTTTCCATCTAAGCCGATTTTATTCATAAGTGCTTGCGATTGGGTTTTTACTAATTCGTTGTTTGCCTTTTGATTAGGTGTTTCAACGAAAGGATTGGTATTAAGCCGTGTAGCGTTGTGCTTTATTATTTCGCGCCGCTTTGCAGCTTCCACACGTTCTATCTCGGTAAGTTCTACACCATCGGGGATGTACATAATGGAGTTTTTATTTGTGTATGACCAAGTTTCAATCTGTAAATATAGAAGGCCAAATAGTATAAATGTGAAAAGCTAAATGATCGTAAATATATGATTTACCTTTCGTAAAGGATCCGGTTCTTCAAACTGTTTTTCAATTGATGGCAAAGTTAAAGCGCGTGCTAATTTATCGGCTGATAACTTTTCCTCATTATACAGCACGGCAAACTTTTGTCGCAATTTCTCGTCAGCAGTGTCTATGATTTCTTGAAAACTATAATTGTCTTCGCTAGTGTAATGCTGTAAAAACGAATCCAATGAATGTTTGTCTGCTATAGACTTATTTTCGTCGTCTATTCTAGATGTTTTAGAAGAAATTGATAGAGTGGATTTGGGTGTGTCTGAAGCATTATCATTGCTCCCATGTCGTGGTGTCACATTTCCATTCGCACTTGCCGGTGTCTCAAATGTAGCTGGAGACATAGCTATAAATAAATATAAAATACAGTTATAGTTTGTTATAAAAAAATAGGTATATCTTTGCTACAGATTTCTACATACAGCTCCTGTCGGTCGGTCTGCGACCACTGTACTTCGCACGTATCGCTTCCATTTGTGCATAGTCTTTACGCTCCATCGCATCCAAGTAGTCATTCTGTGCACGCAATTTGTCCAAATGTGGAAAGAAATCCCGTTGAATAATTTTAGAAAGCTCTTCGATGTACATTTCCTCCGTGAGTATTTTTTGTTTAGTTTTTTTGCGCACTGCTCCGGACAGAGGTACTTTGAAGTCTTGCAAACTCTTATCACGCTCCTTAAGTTTCACAAGCGCTTGGCTTCCAGGTGTGTTTGGCGTAGATGGTTCAGTCATTTTATTTGTTTTTCAATACTTTTTTTTATGAACTAGAATTGTTGCCAAAAATTACGCGTATTTCACAAGCAAAAATAATCTACATTCTCTGATAGCAGCAGCTGATTTTGGTATTTACAGTGCTGCCAAGTTCGCCGACATATGTGTGGGAATGGATATTATTGTGGATCGTATATTGTTGTTGTATAAATTTGGCGGAAATAGTTTTGCAGTATCCATTGCCTGTGTTCACGGTTAATAAATTTTAATTTAGTTATTAATGTTTAAATAAGTTATTAAGAGTGTTATATTATAAATAGGTAGTACACCGCTGCTTGAACAACATCTTAGCAATAAAATTGTAAGTCATTTGTCACAATTTATTTTACAAATGCATTAAATCATTGATGTAGACCACATCAAATTACTGGGAAAATTTTTTGCGATTGTAAATGTGTATGCATCTATGAATTATCTTGAAATGAGAAAGAGTTGGTAATTGTTTCTTCATAAGTTTGTGTACAAACATATGTATATATTGGGTTGTAGTCTTTCGGATTCATAAATTTCGTTTCTAAAACCCTTCTACCATGTGTCTTAAGACAAAAGTTTTAAATGGGTATTGAGTACTTGCTACGAAGAGAAGAAGGAGAATAAAAAACTATGTTTTACCTGGTTGAAGCCGAACTAGTTAAAGTAATTGTAGCAAGGCAAGGCAACACTATGTCATGAGACTTTCTATGTGTGTTTTTTTTATACCAGGTAATATTAAGGGTATATTAAATTTACCAAAAGGAAACGTTGGAGACCCTATAAAATATACATACCTATACATACATATGTATATAAATGATCAGCGTGGCGAGCTGAGTCGATTTAGCCATGCCCGTCTGTCTGTCTGTCTTTATATACGCCTGGTAGTCCCTTAATTTGTGAGATATCGAAATAAAATTTTTCACACGTCCTTTCCTCCCCAAGAAGCACCTCATTTGGCGGAACTACCAATATTGGAACACTATATCACACAGCTGTCATACAAACTGACCAATTAAAATCAAGTTTTTGTATGGAAAAGTTTTTTATTTGATAAGATACCTTCACGAAATTTTTCATAGATTATTGCCCAAGGTAATGCTACAATATCCGAACATATTGCTGGGATCTGACGACAATAGCATATAGATTCCATACAAACTGACCGACCGATCAAATTAATCAAGATTTACCCTTATGCCACTAGAAATGCAACTGTGAAGGGTATTATAGCTTTGGTGCAGCTAAAGTGAATGTCTTTATTGTTTTTATTTTTAAATAGGATGCATTTAAAACTCCTCAACAATTGGACAAGTCGAATTCTGCTTAGTAACCTATAGCTTGCGAATGAAGAAATGGAATGTTCATATAAAAATTAAAAATTTTTTCCTTTCAAACACTAAAGGTATTTTCAAAGGCAAGGGTGATGTGAGATTTGTTTAAAAAGTAAAGAGTTATTTTTAAATTAGCTGTGTTCTATAAATACATTCAAAATATTATATATAGAAGTATTATGTTGGTTAAATAAATGGATCAAAGAGCTTAGCTTAATCTATTCGGCTGGTTTCTCAGTTGAAAATGCGAAACTTTTGGAATATAGAGTTGTGTGAGCACCTTTATTCATTACCGGGGCATAATATAAAAGGAATATTTAACTCATGTTGTACGATTAATGTTGAGTGCAACGTTGAATAGGAATTAACGCACTAAACCGTGGAAAATAACACATAGCTTTTGTATTACTTTTGAGAAACATAAGATACTTGTATAATAGATTGTATGTTGTGTTGATCGTACGAAGTCAACATACTTGTATTTTTTTGAACACTCCTTGTACATGGAGCAAAATAATAGTAGGCTTTCCCGGAAGTTCAAATAGTGTAATTTTTTTTAGAATTATTGGGAATGTGTGTAACAGTGTTTGGCAAAAAATTCCTATTTCCCTAGGATTATTAAAATATTAAAAAAAAATGCCTCTTCAAGAAAAATGTGTTTTTTCTGACTTGCAAATGGACCCTTAAACCTAACGCATTTGAAGAAGTGCTCGGCCAAAGCAACTACTAAATTGCCTACCAGCATGTACATTAGCAATGACAAAATCAGCTGCAGTTTGAAATCAAGCAATCTGGCTTAGGCATTAAAATGTTTTATAGAAACCGAAACTAAGTTTTATAATATTTATGCTCTACGTTTTATGAGTATCCAGTCGACGAATGTTACAAATTTGCTACTCCATATATCCCGAAAAGTTTTGTCATAAAACTTTCAATACCGCAATATCGAAAATATTTTGTCAACTCCAAAAACAATACCACTTACTGGTCTCCGCAGCAAACAGGAAGGAAAATTTGTACGAGTTCCGCCAGCAGAATACGCAAACAACAACATTCGATTATTCAAACGAATCACAAATCTGTTAACAGTTGGCAATAATATTCTCATAACTTCTGGTGTCCCTTTTATGTGCCTTTCTTTCATTTCATTGCTATTTTGAGTCGGACCAAGCGACAGTGTTGTGCCCGGGGTTTCCAATTGGAAAAACCCGAGGGCGGAAAGTTATAACACACGCGAGCAAATGCAGTTGGATGTGTGTGCATGTGTGTTTGTGCGTGGAGCTGCACTGCTTTTATTGCTTACATATGCCTATGAATAGAAAACAAGAAAAAAAATATTTCATTCACGTCATCGATGGCATTAATTTTCGAACATTTCATCACTCTCAAAGCTGCAACAAAGAGGCAGGATCGAGCCAATGAAGCTACCTTATGGTTTAAGAGTTAATAGTGCAGCATGCAATGTATGAAAGGGCAGTGCATATACCATACATATGTATATATGAAGACTGCATTTGTATGACACCCAGAGGCGCAACTGCAGTTGTTGGTGCCGCTAGTAGCAGCAGTCAGAGCGCCTCCGCTTTTAATTGCTTTTAACTTCCTATCACAAGCCCAAATAGACTTGCACTGCCAAGCGTATTGGAAGTGATTATAAATTTTCAATGGCTGGCAGCGTATTCGTCGTTTCGCTGCTCTTTGCTTGAATTTGAATTACGCGCTCAATTTCCGATGAATTAAACCGCAGCATTGGCCGCCTTGCCTGGTATTGTGACAATGATGTCGATGCCAACCGAAAGTGAGCAACCAGAAGTAGTTGTAGTTGGTTTTGTTGTGGTTGTGTGCTGGCGCATGCCATTATGCGTGGCGTGCTAATTGATGAGCCTAAGTAAATGAACGGTGGCCGCAATTTGTTGTGCATTCTTTGATTCCTATGGTAGCATGCAACAAGTACATTGATAAATTGTTAAAACAAACGGCATAAATATTAAGTATGTGTATGCCGAGTATGTTTGTTTGTGCGAAATAAATGTTGCTGAAATTGTCAGCAGCAATGATGCGACGCACCAGCAACAATTTATAAAAAACGAAACGCACAATAACAATAAATAAATATCCGCCACACACATACATACATAGGCGCATAGCTGTCGACTACTTAGAGGCTTAATATGTGTCCATTTTTCGCTATAAAAATGCATAAATTTCGTAATTTGCTGTTCACGCCTCGTAAAAAAATGCCATTTAACTTTGTTGTAAGTAGCTGTGACAGTAGTTGCAACATTTATCAGTGGTTGTCACAAAGGGGTGCCACACATACAATTACAAATACATATGCTATACATACATGCTGCAAAATCGAATGCAGAGTCAACACTTGGCGAACGCTGTCAACGCTTAGCAGGAGGCAAGTGCAAAAGGAGAAATTGCTGGAATGTGGCGTAATCAGGTCGAGAAAAAGAGAGCGTTGTTTTTTCTTGTACTTAAATGGTGTTGAAATTGTCTATGTGTTTCAAAGGTTTTTGATAGGTTGCAATCTTTGCATTAATAGCGATAGGAGTTTAACATATTAATTGTATAACGCAAGCTTGCACTGAAAGGATCTTAATTTACCATTCTAAACTTTCTCCTCTTGGTTAGCGCTGTAACTGTCTAACAAGGTTTTAACGGAACATCAAATTTAGGGTCTTCCCAAGATCATTACGTCTTGCTCTTTTTATAGTTGGGGATGATTCTTTTATTCCCTGTTATCACTACCTGTACCGATCGAGAGTCTATAACTATAGTCGTGCGATTTTTTTCCTTCAAAATTTGAACTTTTAATTCAGAATTTAATTTTTTAAAGTATTGCTAAGCTAAAGCTGTAATATTTTCTATCTGGCAATTTGTGGATTCTATCCTAAAAAAAACTGATTTTATCTAATGCGAATTTGAAGTCTTTGTCATGTTCAATGCTCAAGTTTTACTAAGTTTAAGTTTTATTCGCACTAGGCCTCTGCTTTTATCCGCTTGGCAGGCGTGCTTTAGAGAATAACAGTCCTCAGATTGTGCGGAGCTCTAGACTACTGAGGGTATGTTTTTCATTTATCCCAGCATTATTGCTAGGTCCAAGACCTTTCAATCTGTAACTTGATGCTACTAGCAATAAGCACTCATAAAAAGAGTCAATCGACTCATAAAAAGAGTCAATCAACAAGGACAAATTTCCTTCATATTTTACACGGTCTATTGTATGTTCTTGGCAGGGACTTATGTTCGTATAATAAGATTCCCTGATAGCAGTGTGCGAAACAATCTCCATAAGGAATCGGACTCATCGAGTCAATGCTTTTATATCACATTCCTACGTTCCTCTGCTGTGGTTATTATTAATAATAGGTCGTGTCTTACGAGAAACTGCTGTATCAAAAGGTGCCACCAAAGCGACCTCAAGTGCTGGAGTTTTACAGGCGTTTTTTTTCTATTGAGTAACTGCAGCATAGATACTCAAGTAGCTAATAATTTTTCTACAAGCGTGGGCGTGTCTAACGCATTTACTTGTGACGCCTTCTTATATGTATAGTCGTAGCATATACACATACACCAGCATAGTTTAGTAGGGATGTAGATATGTTAGCAATACTTTGTGTTTACATTGTTTATTCCATAAAACAATCGTATTCCTTGCACACACGCGTATTCAACCATAAAACCATGACGGCATGCATGGCCTCATCCCGACTACAGCGTCCCCAGAAATAGTACAATATAAGCGTGTTGCTGCTTTACCTAAAAGGGGTGCCACGCTCGGCACAACGACATCAAAGATTGCACAGCCACTTGAACTTGAAATGGAAACAAATTCACATTTTTGTGTATTGTCGCCTGTCAAAAAATGCGATGATCTAAGTAAATTTATGGGTATTTCTAAAACGAGCTAATCAATAAGATTATATAAGATTTTGTATAGTGAGTTAATACTTAGAAAGTGAATACCTTCGGTTCAAAAGATGAAATTATATTTCACTTATGATATGAATAAAATAATTGTGATAATTTGGCGTCAATACTTTGCAAGGTCGAGTTTATGCTCTCCGATTGCTATGTGTTTTGAAAATAGCGATTAAGTAGGTGGTTC